ATTAAAAAACAATGGAATGATCACCTCTAAATAAGATGAGCTAGCTAAGAATAATGCCAATGTTTTTTTTACTTAGCAATAAGTAAGTAAACAATCCTTACTATACAATGTGTAAAAAAATAAATGGGATCTCACATTGATTTCCTAACAAAATGTTACTCAGTTCCTTCTGTTATGTTTGTGAATTGTCTGAGAATTTTTTAAAATATATTTAGAGGAAACAAATATCTTCACCTGTGATGATATAACGTTTTCTCAATAATGATTTTAAATTGGCTCAGTACTAAAAGCTACAGATGTATTTTCAAAGAACACTGCTCTTCTCCATTGCACAGACGATATACTCAGATAAAACTCACAACCACCAACTTTACTGTGATTTGACATTACAGACAACCTAATTTAGTAATAAGCTTTCTATTGAAAGAGAGGGTTTTGTGCTCCGTGCAGCAGCGGCTTCTACAGAGGAAGTTCCCTGCACTCACAAAAAGGCAGACCAGATGCAGCCACACAATCACTGGAGCTTTTAGAGGGGCAGAAACAAGCAGAGACTTGTGGTTTGGAAGAGTCAGCTAGCAATGGGAAGGAAAGATTGACCTTTTGGCAGCAACTTACTATTAGATCAGTTTGTCTGTAATACTAAATTCCACCCTCAGGAGCTTAACCTGGAACTGGGTGGTGCTAGTTCTTTTTTAATGTACTACTTTATATGTAAATCTTACCTCTCTGAAAATTAATGAGAGTATGGTTATCAATTTCAGTCAGTCAAGATTTCCCTTCCGTACACTAGTGGTACACAAATAACAAACAATAACACAGACACCTAGGTCGTTAGGCTTAAATAATAGATTCATTATATTGAGAAGTATCATTCTTTTTCAGGTAAAAACTCATATACAAAAACATATGCATCCTTAAACTATCAGCTTTTCAGAGGACTCCGTGAATAGCAGCAGTATACCAATTTTCTTGACCATGTGAGGCAAGTGTCAAGATCTTCTTGCACCAAGGGAAACTCAAGTTAAATATATATACCTCAGACAGCTCATTTTAGAGAAGGAATTTAGGATTTCCTGCCAGACAGGAGATGGCAATGGCTTCCTAAGTACTCCACTCACTACTCCATTGCCAGAGGGAAACAGCCTGACTAAGTAAGTAGGGCCCCACCATCTCAAAATTTAGGTTTCCACAGACCCTGCAATTTCAACTCTACCCATGGCTGAGCATGTAGAATGTCTACAAGTACTCATATCAGCTGGACCAGGAAGATAAAGGATGCAGCCATTCCATAAAAGAGCTCCACTTCCTATGCAGGCTGAGGACACAAGCTAATCAGTCCCGATTCAAATTTTCAGCTTTTAGTATTGTCCAACAGTTGAACAACATTATGGTATTATTTCTCTCCTGTGGTCCAAAAAGCAGCTACAAGTTAGAAACCTAATTTAACCATAATAGTGTTTTTCTTTTTCAATTTCTTATTTCTATTATCTGATCTCATAATAACAATTTTTAAGATATTTAACTAAATAATAAATCATTAGTTTACTATAACCAAACTGGGAAGAAGCTGCAATTTATAAAGTAATAATGCCTATTAATCTCCAAAAAGATAGGAATTTGATCTTATATTCTCATTTTATCTGAAACATTGAAAAAGAAATTTCCCCCCCATATTCTCAAGTTGTCAGTGTGAGCTTATAAAACTTGTTGAATGTTAATGTTAGTCTTAAAACTTCAAGAAAAACTAGAATCACTGAGGACAAACTGCTTTAACTGAATGACATAAAATCACCTTCAAGTATATTCTCATATATATGAGAACTGAAGTTTGTCACTTCTTAAAATCTATAGTGGCACTTAAGTTTTAGTGTTAATACTTAACAAGATTTAGATACAGTTAACTATATAAGTAAAGTAAAACTAAAAAACTTGATGCTCAGATTTTACTGAGGATCATTCAATGAGGAATTCAAAGATTCATTCCAAATGTAACCCTCCTACTTTCCTCACTTCCACATGTGTACTACACTCTGTACTGCAGTGGAAGCAATTTGCTTTAGAATGTGGCACAAGTAAGACTAGTATATAAAGGTACTAAGATTTAAAGGTATATGCATACTTTGCAAGTTAAATTAATCCATAAAACACAACCAGGGAGGAAGGAGATCAAAAATGCCTCTTCTTATTGTGTCTGTTCTAGTCTTAATATTCTTACACTGTCTCTGTTCTATTACACTGTGCTTTATTACACTGTCTCACATGAGCAATGGATATTACCGGATTTTCGGGCACACACACGTTAAAACCAATCAATAACAGCTTCAATTTTATCTGAGAAACCTCATTCTGACTTTCTGGGATTTCCACTGAAGAGGGCTATATTTCAAAGATAAAAGTATCTTGTATTGTACAGGCATCTTTAGCAACAAGAAAATGGTACTGAAGATAAATATGCATGAGTAGCTTATATACATATAAATATGTATATATATAGTGCTCAGGTTTGCTGCTAGATCATGGAATGTTTTTCTCTCATCAGAAAGAAAGCTGATCTACTTACAGATCAACAGAAGGCATGTGAAAAAGGTTGCTAACAATACTTCTTTTGCATGAAAGTGAGAGCAATTGGCATCCCATCTGGAAAAACACACTACTCTGAGATAGAAAACTCTTGCTACCGGCAAAGTTTATGGTATTAATTTGTAATGGTGGATATAGGGAAATGTACTAAACTAATGCTCATTTACTTGCATAATTATGTGTTTTCTGCATAAAATGACAGGCTTTTACCCTGTCAATACTGGCCCTAAGTTAATAGAAAACAGGACAAGGTGGGTGCACAAGTAGGCCAGCGCTGAGGAATGTCAAGCTCAGGTTACAGATTTGCTTCTTGTATTAAGATCTGTACAAAGTATCACCTAATGCATTACACTTCAGACTCTTAAATATGTTATTTTAAATATTTTCATTGCAGTTTAGCTTTGATTATTAATCTAAGAGGCAAAAAGTTAAACCGTATCTTATCTTCTTTGCCACTTGATATGTTAAACAGCCTTCATACCTTAAATCCACTTTAATAAGGCATGCAATTATTAAAGCATTACAGAATGGCCCCAGAGCACAAAAGCTCCATTAAATTTGCTTACATCTAATTATGTCTGCCTGAGGCAGGTGAGAAATTGACTCTGATAAGATCTTTCTTTTACCTGTAGCCAAAAAAATAAAAAGGAAAAATAACTCTGATTGATTTTCTATCTAATTGCTATCTACAAGTATTTATGGCATTCTCTCTTACAATGAATAGCCCACAAAAGCACTCTTTGTGCACTAACTAGCTCATTTTAAGTTTTTTTAAGACTGTCAAATACAAAAGACAAGCTTATCTTGCATCAGGCATAAGACAGGTCATCAATGATGTCTACTTTGGAAATAGCTTTATCTGTTATTTAAACCCTATATTTTCTTTAAAAAATAATTATGATGTGAAAGCATATGTTTTTTCTTCATGTTAGTATAAGCAAGGAAAGTATTCTATTTTATGGAAATATAACAGAAATATATAAATGTCCTTTACATGGCCTGAAAACTATTATTTTAAAAATGTTTTACTTTTTTTTTCTGAGTGTTAATTTAAAATGAGTGTTTTATAGTAGAAAACATTGCATTCAATTCCTATGCATTTGTAACTGACCTTTCAAAATTCAGGAAAAAGCTATTAAATTACACTGCTTTTTACTTATAAGTGAATGAGGGAACGTGGTATTTCTAATCATTCTAATCCTTCTACCAGCCCTAGCAGATCCTAGAGAACAATACATCAAGACTGTCATAGTGATAATGTCAAAATTAGTTAGAAACTATACCACCTAAAGAGGAATAAATAAATAAAATAAATAAAATAATTAATTTCTAAAAAGTAATGGAATTCATCCCATCTACAGGGATTATAATTCAATTCTTCATTAATAATTAAGGAGAAATTACTTTGTTATAAAGCATTCTTTGAGGGAGACAGACATTAGGTATTTGATGGGAACACTGCCCAGAGAAATCAACCATTGGACTTCTAATGCAAGATTATACAACACTACTTTTCAAACATACATCTTTAACCACTGATACCACTTGTATGATACATTCTTTGGTAGAGCGGACCACAAATCTATAGTCAACCCAGAAAGAAAAGGTCCTTTGGTCACACTTTAGGCTTAGAAACTCATTTGATACTCTTAAATAGGAAACTGCATAGAGGCTTGAAATTAATACATTGTACCATTAACATGTTTCTCATTTGCTCCTTTGGCTTTTAGAGCACATCATTCCATAACACTTCCTATAAAACTTCATCTGACCTTATCTTTACATTCAAGCAATAAACAAATATGTTATCTTTTTTATTGATTTGCTTCATTACACAAATCTCATTTAACATATCTGACAATGAAAAGACGTTGATTTTCTGATATGCTAAACAACACTACTGTAAATACCACATTTTGGAATTAATGATGAATTATTTCTGTCTGCTATTATGCTTTACCAACTCAAAGACTGTTGTTATACAAAATATTTTGGCCTCATAATTACATCTTGTTTGATACTAACTTGTTGCATTTCTATTAAAAGTTTTGCGTTTGCTTTATAGTATTGTCTAGTCACCAGTTTGCATCATCTATAAATGACAGTGAACCACTGAATTATGCATGTTTTATACTGCAAATCAAAACCAAACTAGAACAAAAAATTGCAAGAGGAAATACATTAGGAAAAATTACTTTTCAGTTTTTCCATGTCTCCCTTAAAAATGAATTGCATCCTGGTAAATTAATTATTCAGACATGATGACTGTTACTGAGCCATGTAATTTTTTTTAAATTTTCTTCATATTCACACTTCATATCCTAAAGTATAGAAAAAAATTTCTGTTCTTCTCTGTTATGTTGTGGATTTGTCCATGGGAAGTTTCAATAGACAATATTGCTCAGAATCTGAATACATACCAAAAGCTGCCACTTTTATGATTATGGCTTGAATGTTAGATAATATAATTTCTTTAAGCAACATTTCCTGGTTCCAACGCCAAAGGTAAGCTAAAGGCTGAAGATTAAGCCTTCTGCACCTTAAAAACAAACAAAAAATTGGATAAAGCCAAGTGTTATGCTTTTACACAGCATGATTCATGTAAAATGAATGAAAATTTTTCTTTTCCTACCTTTAAATAATTTTTCTTCTATATTTCAGCATAAACATTAAGTCTAATACAAAAAAAAAAGAATTGGCCTATATAACAGACACAATTTCCATCACATAATTCCCTTTTTTAATTAAGACTCTTAAAAGAATTACAACCTATCTTGACTTTAGAGTGTGCACAGTAGAAATGACAAATCAAAGCTCCTGATTAATGATAACAGATTACAGATTTTAAGGAATTAAGGGAAGATATGGACATAAGGATTCTCTCCATTTAATTCCTGATAGCAGGATGTTCCTCTACATTAAAACTCTGGTGAAAAATAGAGGTACTTGACCACAACACTGTAGTCATTCAAACTGAGCAAGCTTTCTGTTGAAATCAAGGATCTGAACCTACTCCATTATTTTCATATCAAAACTCTGAGTATTTTCAACAGATCTAGAGAGAGACCTGAGAAGTAATCAAAAAATCTGGTACAGTTCCTCTAGATTTTTACTAATGAACACATGGGTTTAGGAGAAAAAAAAAAAAAAAAGAGAAAAAGAAGAGATGCCAATAATAATCTAGTGCATTGAGTGTCATAGAACATGAGAAATAAGGCAACTGTCTCTGCTCCAAATTTGAGTTAGAAAACAGACAAGCACTTTCCCAAATATGTATATTAAAAAAGATTAATATTTTCTTACACATCTTCAACTCGAACTCTCTGATAGTCAGAAAGAATGGCTCCCACAGATACACCCTCCACTCCTTCTTTGTCCTGAAAAGAGACATAGAATAGTAATGATGATTTAAGCTGTAGAGATTCAGTATCTCCACTAGTAAATCCAGCCAATAAGACTTTTTATTTCGGTGTCCAGTACATGGAACAGAATAGGCTGGAATGCAGATCTTGAACAGAAGAGAGCAGCTCAGCTGACCTACTTTTGGTCTAACACAGTAAATTACTCAAACCAAGTACCATTTTACTGAAGAAATAACCAAGGTAACTGAAAAGTATCGGATTTAACAGATTATCCTAAAGTTTTCCTGACATGCTGAAAATTCCTTTCAGCTTTTCACTATAAGTGAGGTATTAGCTATCTCACCTAAAAATAACTATCAGCAACATACAATCATGACGATTAATTAAACTGCTGCCATTTGTCACTGTACACAGGCAAGAGGCTGGGCGATGAATCGTTTTATCCTGACACCAGAACAAGAAAACTCACAGGCAACTAACTCAACATCACTTTTAAAATTTCTGCTATAAAACAAGTTTTCCAAGACACATTTTCTCTGTTTCATTTCAATTACCTATGCCAACAAACAGCACTTTTTGTTTTCTTGTAAATACACTGAGAATGCAATATTTGAAAATGCACAGTTCCAATATTATGTGAGCTCTTGCATTTCTAAATTGCTTAAGTCCCAATCAACATGCTGAGTTTATTTTATTTCCCTAAATTTGCTCCATCTAGACTTCAGTAAAAGTTGTTTTCCTCTTTTAACCAAGATTGATCATAACTACAACATATGACTTACTTTCTGGACCTGCTCAATTAGACTGCAATCCTGCGAAGTTTGGTTGAAAATTTCACCAAAAAAATTTCAACTATATACATATGCATCCTGCTCTACACCTTTCTCCTTGAGCCTGCTCTATGATCTCATGAGCTCCTGCTAAGCCATGACTGAGCAAGATGAGCAGTGAAGTGTATCAGTTAGGTGGTGAAGCCTCCCTGACCTTACCAGTAAGCCTTGCATGGTAAAGGTGGGAACAATTCTGACTGTAACATGCACATCAGCTGCCCGGCCAAGGTGGGGAACAAAGAATAAGCCATTATCCTTGTCAGTCTTGGTAAATGATTTACCTGAATTGCAGCCCAAGTGAAACGACACCATTTTTACAAATTTCAAAATCAAATCCATCTGTGCCTGATGAGGTACTGAATTTAATATTAATTTCCAGTTGATCAATAAAAATATGCGGAAGGTGTGTTATTCAAAATTATACTGTAGTGATATTAGATTAATGTCCATGGCTACATAGATACACATATCATACACAGTTTTCCACATTTTTTTATGAAAGAATAATCAAATGTTTTGAGTTGTAAAGGAACTTAAAGATCATCTAGTCCAATACCCTCATCCACGGGCAGGGTCACCTTCCACTAGATCAGACTGCTGAAAGCCCCACACAAACTGGCTTTGAACATTTCCAATGATGAGGCATCCACAACTTTTCTGAGTAATCTGTTTTATAACACACACATTTCTTATCAAAACAAATAAGATGTCACAAGATGATAATATTTATTGCAATGCATTGCAGATCATTATACTCCATTATATATATTTCCACCATATTTAGTCATCTTTCTCTAAGAACAGGAAATAAATAGGTGGATCAGAGATGCAAGAGTAACTATATAACAAACTTTAAAAAAAAAAAAGTATTCTCATAATAACTGTAGGACTTTAATTTGTAATTTCCCAAATACACAGATTTACAGAATCTCCTGTTCCTCCATGAAGATGGCAACTGACTTTTTTTTAACAAGCTCACAGAGTCATAAAAATATTTTTTATTCATTCTGTTTTTAAAGTTCTGACAAACTGACTGTCATTGGTTGCTTGCTTAAAACCTACATTAAATCTGATTTAAATAATAACATACAAGATTGTCTGCACTTATTCTAGTTTATTTCCTTTGATAATACATAAGGTTTAAACATTTTTTGAAATGGCAGTAGATAGTATCATTTTGCACTTGTGGTTAGCGTTTGTGTTTAAAGAATTCTCACAGCAAGTTATTCACCATCATCACTTTTCATTTAGTTCTTCTGATGGTAAAGAGCAAATATAAATTTCCAGACAGCAGATTCCACAAGGAGAAACATCAATATACTTAATACATGCTTTGAAATGGGAGAACTAGTTAATATACTTACATACTATGAAATGTAATAAATTCAATCCCCCTATTTTGTCCAGTTCAATAAATCAAGGCTAGAGTGGCACAAATTCAAGAAATAAGAAGATTTGAAAGGAAGAAGGATGGACTATGAGGTGGAACAGAAAAAACTACGGTCTAACTACCTTCATAAACTCCTCAACTGGACAAAGTTTACATAAAGCCTTGCCACACAGTGTATGCAGCTCAGCACTTGAAACACGCAAAGAGTACTAACTGAAAACTTGTTCCTCGCTGGATTTACTCTTTGGTATGGAAAGAGTTATTGGACATCTTGCAAACAGAGAGTATTTTTGTTTGACTTAGAGTTGATCACGGTTAGGAGAGAATCCACACCAGAATCAATAGTGCCTTCACCTTTTAATGTGGAATCTGATCAGGTTTGGTCCCATAAAAAGCATGTTCACAAAACTGCACGTATAAAGCAAGTTGACATCTGCAGGCTAAATATCAGGGATCTGCACTGAACTCAAAAGCCAAGGAAGAGAATTTGGGGAAATTCAGAAGGGAAGATGTTAGATGCTCTATCATGTAAAAAGTAACAGAGGCCAGAAAAACATCTGAGGAAAGTTAATAAAGAAGGAAGTGTTTTTTCCTTGGGTTGTTTGGGTGGATTTTTTTAAATTATTATTATAAAAAACATCATGTACTGTAAATTTATGAGATTATTTAAACTATGCAAAACTTTACTAGTATGTTGTTAGTGCAATAGGCTTGTCTAAAATAAAAATAAATTGCTTCTCTGAAATATGTGGATAATACAAAGAGCACTTTTACAGTACACACTTTGACAGTTGTCACAAAGTATGACAACACAATGTATGAAATATACACAAAAAAAGAGATGCTAAACACAGATGTATACAGATGCTAACAACCTTTTTATTTTTCATATGACATCTTAGAACTTATTTTTCCCCTTCAGAACTACTAAAACTACTAATTTCAAAAGGCAGGTATAAAAATAAACTTTTAAAAAGCAACTAAATAACACAAAGTTTTCAGTAGCTTTTTTTTTAATGTACCTAAGATAATCATTAGCTATGTTTTAACTGTAAATTACAATTGTACATCTTGTTATAACCATTAATTTATTCCTGTGCACAGGACAAGAAAAATAATCTTCACGAACAACTGTGTTCAAATACCAAATTGATCTTTGCAAATGTAACTGTATTAAAATGTACAATTTATGTTTAAAGCATCCTAATTTTAAAGTTACTTATTATTTTAAACAGTTTAATGAATCGCAAAATTCAAAATTGCTGCTCTTTGCATATCATAAATTACTTTTAGCTGCATTTCCCGTCAGAAAATACTATAAAAAATTTAACGTTTTTGCGAAAGCTCCAGAACATCACTGCAGTGGGTATGCTTACTGTTATGTGGTTGTTAAGGTGGCTTTGTTATACCAATGTACAATTCTAACATACTGTTTCACAGCTAAAGTAAAACATAAACAGAAATTTAAGATTAATTTATACCAGCAGACTCTTGTTTCAATTTTGATTTTTTTTTATTTCAGTGACTGAAATTCAATTAGGGATATTGCCTATTTTGAGGAAACGTCTACATATGCATTGTAGCATACAACACTGGCAGAAGTATTCTACTAGTAAGTAAAAAATGTATTGCAGTTGTATTAGTACCGAGGTTTTCTTTAATTTCACATTTTAATGTCTTTACTTGACCCTCTCAGAGTTCAGCAAAAAAGAAAATTAGTGATAATGTTTTCAGTTTAATTAGTGTATTACATGCACTGTAACTATTAGTGAGAAATGTTATATTAATGAACATAAAAGTTAGCTGTAAATTACCTCAGAGTTATTATCAATTTCCCAAGTTACTGCTCCTTATGATAACCCTCTCCCTATGGTCCTTCCAGTAATTTTTCTTTGCCTGATAAACATGATGATTAAACAGCACACAGTGCAAACCTTTGATACTTTTTAAATTAAATCCATGCCCAGCCTAAGGGCTGTGTCGGATTTCAACTAAATGTGTCAGTTAATCAGATAAAAAATTATCAGCAACTCAAAGAAACAGCAGCCTTAGGCTTCATCAGTGCCAGAGAAAGCTGAACAAAATAAGACATCCAGACAATATCACATTATGAGTAAAGGTTACCGTTAAGCATATCACTGCACAGAACTATTCACCACCTTAATAATGTCTCTCTTATATGAAATATTGCATACAACAGCTAAAATAATAACAAAGAAAGGAAGGTGGTAGACCTGTTCCTATATATGTCTGTTCATGTGTATTGCAAGAAAATTTGAATGCTGCCATTCAGAAAAATGCAAAATATCCCTAAAAATTTACTGTTTAGAAAAGATCTTCGCAAGAAACTGAAGTATAAATACCTGAAGAAAGGTTAAACTAGATTTAATTTTTAACATTTGCTTCACAGATTTGCCACAAGAGTTCATTTTTATGACCAAGATATAAAATATATTATCTCTAAATGAAATTGTCTTTCCAATTACTATCCTCCTTAAAGCTTGTATGAGTAAATTCAAATTAAAACACAACATATTTGCAGGTGTGTGACTGACAATATATACCTTAGTAACAGGACTTTTAGGCTTCTGAAATTATTTGAGTGGAAAATTCTTAAATATGAGCTTGCCTTATAATTTGTGAAACATTCTAAGATCACTGATTATAGTGATTTCAGAGTATGTGATTTTTTCTAAGCTTTGATATGCCTGTCAGATGCAGCTGCAAGTAATCAAAGACAGTATGGGAATATCCCTGAGACATAAGGATATAATAACTCTTATGTCAGACTGAAA